CCCACACACCCGAACTGTCAGAATTTCTGGTGTTGGAAGCACAGAAACTGTCGAAGAAGGTCGCATCGTCTTCTGGCTGGTTCTCGGCCTCTAAAATGTCCCCGTCTGTCATTAATGTTTGCTCATGTAACACTGGTGCAATAATTTACGGAGATACTAAAAGCATTAGCGCGAGTATTGAGCAGAGTAGGAATCATAAGGTTTTTAATTGTGCACAACTCCACCATTAGCGGGCGTTCCTATCCCAATAGGACCTAGAACTGGGATAGTGCCTTTGACTAGGAAGTGCTACACATGTGTACCAAAAGTAGTGAAAGGATTAAAGGCAATGATCATGATTTCTGGGAAGGCGTCGAGATTTTCAAGGTGTCGTTCACCATTCGTCATTGGTGGAAGGGCGTTAGGAGGCAGTCCCAATCATATTCCGCAGCACGCTGAGGACGCAATTGCAGCAATACACGTCAACAAAACCGCACCGCCCTCCAGTCGTCGTAATCTCTGCCCTGGAGCCTAATTACGAGATGAGCTCTACCGTGCTTCTTTTTCTCCTCAATGCTCGAAAAACAAAGTAGGCAATTAAAGAATAACAATTTAAGATCCTGGCGACCCTGATGATTTGTTGGATGAGAACTTCAGCGACAAGGATGGAAGATTCGCGTTAACTGGAACGACTCGCGAATTGACGAGCATTGAGCCGGTGCTCTACATTTATCACGACTGCGAAGACGGGATAAGAGTGAGCTCAAAAATTACAACCTTTCGTTTGAATGCTTCAAGTAACTAAATTAGGATTTGTGTAGCAGCAACCTCTAACACCAAAGGAAAAAGTAGTACGTTTTTACGTTGGCGGCGCGGGCTTATCTACTGGAAATTAGGGTACTCTGTGCAACTGGCTCTTCCAATAAATCTTCCAATATCACGAAAAATGGATGGGCTATATTGTGTATGTTGACCAGTTGCCCGCTGGTGGCCGACGATCCCCTAAGAGGAAGTGGAAGCCCGGTGTCAGCTGGGTGATCCGGCTGGTAAATGAATAAATGAAGCAATGAATTTGCATTGAGCGTGAACCTAGTTGTCTAATATATGGGACGGAAGCAGTACCGCTCATCAGCCCTTTTCAAGATTCATCAAGCAAGTTCCAGTAGCAGATCCTGTAGCATTTGAATAGGGAGTTTTCAGCAAACCGTGCGCCTGCGCGGAATTACTCAAGGGAGGAGAAGAAAAAGAACATGGGATTTTGAAAGAACCTGTTGGAGCTAGCATATTCAATTTATTGTTAGGAGGAAGGGTGGCGCTTTCTTTTTTTTTGGTAGCATTAGGGCTCTCGCAGAAACTCCTGTGTAAGCTAAAATAGGCTTACAATAGTTCATTCACCTCTACAAGTGGTAGAATGTACACAGTAGAAGCTGCAATGTTTGGGCGTGCCCCTTGGTATTCACCGAGTTCAACATCTGCTCTGCAACCACAATCATCAAACATGTTTTGCTATTACCAAGGGTGATCTACGCCACTTCAAAGAGAGTGCGAGTTCTGTTGGATTTTCAGAACAAGTCGATGTGGAGATATTCGCGAGCTTATTCAAGCTTGGGTGTTCTTGGTGCAATAAAGTCCTGATTGGCTTTGAAGGTGCGATGTGGCCTATACATTGACTTCCGGGAGTCAGCCGATGTACAATAAAATAAAATTATTGATTTTGTATTGAAAGATAATTGATTCATTCAGATTGTAAAACCAAAAGTTGTTTTCGGATCTCAATATTGTTTATGTACTTTTGTCGAAATTTTAGTTAGGGGGTGGGATCAAAGAGTAGTTTAGTCTCCGTTTCGCACGTGCCCTTAGCCGATGTACAAGTCAGTGTTTTTATCCTCCCAGACAAGTCTGGTACCAATTAACCGACCCCGGAGGGATGGAAGGCTTGGTTGGCCCGGGCGACTCACGACCCAGGATTTGATCCCCGGACCGCTCGCGTGGTGAGCGTGCCACTTGCCACTACACCACTTCCGCCCTTTTATCCAAGATTTTGCAAGAGGAATAATTTCTTAAAACACGAATTTCAGCCATGCCAAAAACGAATTACGATAGAAGTGCCAAAGCGATTCATTCACAGTGGTACTCCATCTCAATGGATGGATGTTGGAACGATGGAACTCTCTATGACCTATCCAAATCAAGATCGTAGTTGTAAGAATTGAAGATGAATCATTATAAAAGTGTATTGATCACGTCAAAACTGTATCGCACCTTCGTCCAGCCGTTTTATATTGTTCTTATGGAATACCTCGTCCTTTTCGTTGGACAAACTTTCCAAGTGAAGTTCTCATTGGGCGATCCTATCTTCGCCGCACTTCTTTTTCCCTTAAAACGATTTTTCAGAGAAGATTCCAAGACTGGAAGAGGCCATCATCAGCAACTAATGCAGTCTTGGGTGCTTTAGTATAAATTAATAAGTGTGGAGAGAAACATTTTGGCACAGACATAACGTCTAAGCTTGGCAATCAATTAAGGATGACATATTAGGATGGTAAGAAAGTCCTGAGCCGTTTGACACTTTTTTGTTCTTTACTTTTTTATTCCGCGTACAATGGAATTTACTCAACAATATAATCACCATTGTTACTCACTACAGAGTCCCACCTAATGGGCAGGTCAGCGACCCCCTTCTCCCAGAACTGAGCAGACTGAGAGTCAAAGAAATCGCTGACCGCTCTTTCAACGTCTTCAACTTTGGTGAATTTTTTCTTCGCTAGGAATGCCTTAAGGGGATGAAATAAGTGATAATCAGAGAGGGCAATGTCAGGGGAGTAGGATGAGTGGGGAA